CAACATTTTCCGTGGCAGTTTTCAGCAGTGCCCTTGCCACCAGTAACTAGGCCAAAACCTGACGCTTATCCGGGACTACTTTTATCCGAGCCTATTAGTCCGCCCAATAAACCTTACCGCAAGGACTATGAAATCTAGCAACGAGGATTACACCTACGAGAACGATAGCTTCCAAGGACTTATAGCCCGCATCTAAGGGTTCCCATAGCACTTACTCACAATCCCCCCTAACTTTAAAACGCGACAGCACCCTAAACCCTAAACCCTAAAACCTAAACCCTAAACCCTGTTAGGGTTTAGGGTTTAGGGCTTGCGCTCCTCCAAGTAGGGCTTTCACAAAAGCGACTCTGCAGCGACGCCTTCGGCTGGGATTTGCAGCCGTTACTCGTCAAGAGGCCTCGCTTTAGCAAGTCAGCCTACGATTCCTTCAACTGAAGCTAGACGTAGTAAGCTTCTAATGAGTAGCGACAGCTTCCTCATTTTCGAACTCTAGTTAGTAAGTCTAATGATCCTTGAGGCTCTTGGGTGAGAAGTAAGGAGAAGCAACTTACATGGGTCCCCTCTTCACGAAATCTCAACGCCGGCACGCGGAATGGCAGAAGTATTACTACTGAGGGTTCCTTCTAACATTTATAACTTGAGTCCACCTTCAAAGTCCCGCCATATTTATTCAGGCCACACTACACATCCTAAATCCCTTACCTTGTGGCCAATGGCCTAGCCTACTATTTCACAGGCTACGGCTTGCGATCATGGGTCCATGGTAGGGCATAAACCCTGAACTTGAACCTCTCAACCCTAAACCCCTAAACCCTAAAACCCTAAACCCCTAAACCCCTAAAAGTAGCCCGGATGTCGCTGGAAGCGTCGCAGCAGACCGGACCGAAACATGCGACGGTGGAGCGCAAGTACATCTGGAAGCAGATTCCCGGCTCTTCTTAGGGAGCCTTTAGGGCTTAGGGTTTTCGGGGTTTAGGGATTTAGGGGTTTAGGGTTTAGGGTCTGGGGTTGTTTAGGATTTCGGGGTTCAGGGATTTGGGGTTTGGTGTTTAGGGACATATAGGGACATAAAGTAAGTAAAACATGGTAGTAACTTGGATCACGTGCCCTTTGCAAGAATGCAGGATGCTTTCCATGCTTGACCCTTTCACGATTGCCGCTGCCAGCATACTGAGCCATCGCGTGCGCACATGGTGTGTTTCGAAGGATGGATTGCTGAAGGTCCCTTACCTGATTCTGAATTATGCGGCTTCGCATGCAGACATGCGTGTCATCCACGCACTGCCGGCCATTGAGAAGGCAGAGTTGGTTGAGTTTGAGCTTTGGAATAATGGATGTGACAACGTCTGGGGCAACGAGGAAATCCATCTGCGGGAAACGGATGAGCCTACAAGTCATGAGCATTTCAGCGTGTGTTTGGGCTGGCTCTTTGGTGCCTTTCCGAAGCTCCGACGGGTGGCCATCATCGGATTGCGAAACAGGCTCCAGCTGGCACCTTTGCTGAGAAGCTTCCGTCGCTGCCCCGCCCTTGAGGAGCTTTCCCTGCAAGATGCAGACTTCGAAGACGTGGCAACTCTGCTGCTCTTGAGAAATGAGGTTGAATCTCAGCCTAGAATATTATTCCTCAAGCCCTCTAAACCCCAACTCTAAACCCTAAACTAAGCCCTTAAAAGCGCTACGAAGGAGCAAGCATTTCAGCTTCTTAAGCACCCTCTATGAGCTGCTGAGGCAATGTGCGCAGCCTTCGAGGTGGTGCAGGCACTACCTGCCTTCCGAGGTCTTTGCATCCTCCATCTTGCAGTCAGGCACCTGCCTAAACGTAGCCTCTTCTTGTTCTTCTTTTTCTGATGTCACTGCCGTTCTTCTTGATTTGCTTGTTCCTTGTGTTGTTCTGGTTATTCGGACCAGGATGATTAAGACTACTATCTCCTCTTGGACCTTTCAAGGAGTCCCGGTCCGACGTTTAAGGGAAGCCTAAACCCTAAACCCTAAACCGAGGCCGGCTTTCGATGGTGGCGATATTGATCCGGAGTCCCAGACGCTGACAGCCCTTGCTGCATGCTCTGTGTCTCTCCCATCGCTGCACACGCTTTGCTGCTGGCCCTGAATCATTAATGTTTCTTTCATATAGACGCCTCATGAGGAAAACTTGGGCGTTTATTGGGGTTCTGACTATGTATCCTACTATTTTGGGGGGTTATTCAACAGGTCTCTTAATCAGGTACCTACATTACTGCGGTGGTTGCATTGACTTCGTACGGGTAGCCTGACACGCATGCCAAAACCTTATCGTAACCCCTTGAAGGAACCCTTATAGAAACCCTTCCAAAGAACCCTTATAGTTATATATATATATATAATACAAAGTAACCCTGTGGAGGAGCCCTTATACTAGCCCTTTTTGAAAGTGCCACGCCGGACCGAGGCTTGTGCGTGAGCTCGCGGGAAGCCGCACGGCCAGGCTTCGTCACGGCGTTGCAGAGACTGGGTTCTGGAGTACCATACTTGAATACGTTTTTTCTTTGGACCTCTTCCTTAAAGGAACCATTAAGATACAAGTCTATACTTTTTTCTCCCTGGTTACTTCAAAGTCCAGGAGATGTATCGATGTCTTTCCCCTGCGCCAGCTCAGTTTAGCTGGAGACAGGCGCCTAGCTACTGACATTTAGGGTTTTGGGTATGTTCGCAGCACAAGGTTGTTGCTTCTTTAAAGCGGGCCCTGAAGCAGAGATCCCCCCTAAACCCTAAAACACCCTCGGGGCTGAGGTACTTATCCGAGAGGCTTTCAGCAGTGAGAGTGCCCTTCAAGTGCCGGCTGCTCACACTGGATCTTCCGCTGGATGGGCGGAGCTTGTCGATGCTAGCGACTTCCGTCTGCCGGAGTCAGGCTCGACTTACAACAGTAGGGTTTAGAGTTCAGGGGTCTAGGGTTTAGGGATAGTGGGTTTAGGGTTAAGGGGTTTAGGGTTTAGGGGTAATAGGTTTAAGGATTAGGGTTAGGGTTTAGGGAAGTAGTCTTGCGACAAACCCTAGAAGTAAGGCATCAATTTTCGACCCAAAAGCTCTACAGGGTAGCTTTCCCAAGAACACGACAGGTGGAAGGCTTGACTCTTCTATCTCCAGCTGAGGGTATCGAAGCCCCTGACCTTCGCGAGTTCCTTGCAGTCCTCGCAACTTCAGCTTTACAGTCCTTCACATGGAATTTCTGTGGTTTATATGCCTCCGGCCTCCAAAGGGAGGCCCGCCTCGCCGTGAGTGAGGGTCTGGGCCATCTGATCTCGACCTGCCCATCTCTCAAGAAGCTGATGGTCTTCCAGGACGAACGATATATGGATCCGTGTCCCTGGCCAGAGCTGGCCGACATAACAAGCATGGCGACCCAGCGCGGCGTTTGCTTCCGAAGCCCGCACGCACAGCTGCGGAAGCATGTGAGGCTCAGGCAGGTGTGGCTGAGACCTTCTCTCCAACCCTGTCTTTGAGCCACAAGCTGTTCACAGTGACAGAGAGTCCCATGCATGGGGATGCCCCAAAGAAGGGCAGCATGCTGTACAGAATAGAATAGAAGTCTTGCCACCAATAAGCAAAAGATCTTCTCAAAGCCAAAGGCGGCAAGTTCTACCCAACCCTAAGACCCTACGCCCTAAACCTTAAACCCTGAACCCTAAACCCTAAACCCTTTTTTGTCCGAAGAGGAGCAGACATCGTCATGGAGATGTACCAGAAGGGCGAGCTTGAGCAGGCTTTAGGGTTGAGGGTCGAAGGGTCTTACGGTTTTAGGGTTTAGGGCTTTAGGGTTGTAGGGTTTACTTTTTAAAGGTTTTAGGGTTTTAGGGTCTACCTTAAGGCTGGTGGCTTGCTCGGCTCGCCACGAGTCGGCGGAGCTGTGTGTGAACGGCTGCCTCAGCCTTGAGCAAGTGAGAGCTCGCGATGCAGTCTTTGCAGAGCATGTGGAGCTTGGGCTGACTTGGAGGGTTATCTCCAGGGAGGTTGCCGATGCCTTCCCGGGTGTGCTTCAACTCGTGCAGGCGGCACAGAATGCGACCCTCCAGAAGTCCGAAAGTGAAATCCAACTCCTTCGCCGCATCTTCTCTCTTGCAAGGGGCCATGCATCGCCGGACTTCCAGAGCATTCGCAAGGTGGCCTTGTCTTCGAAGCCGCCTTGCAGCGAGTGCTTTCCTGCACTCTACAGCTTCGCCTTGCGATTCTGCGGGGGAACCGAGGGGAGTTTCCTTCGTCAAACCGAAACTTCCATCAGAAGCTCAGGTCAGACTCGTGCTCTGGGACTTGGGTTCTGGGAAGTGCTTTCGCAGGACTTCAAGAGAGGCCAGGAACAGATTCCTCATTTCCGCCATGGACTCTTGAAAGTTGCCTTGACCATAGGGTTCTCCTTTTCCCCGAACTCACTGCCTTCCCTCGGGGCCACTCCCCAACCCCAACACCCTAATAAGCTGTAAGCCTAAACCCTGAACCCTACACCCTAAACTCTAAACCCTGAAGCCTAAACCCGGAACCCTAAACCCTAAACTCTAAACTCTGAAGCCTAAACCCTAAACCCTGAACCCTAAGCCCTAAACCCTGAACCCAAAACAGGCCCTGGATTCTGTACCCTGAGCAGTAAGCCGTTTATTGCCCCTAAATGAACTTTAGGGTTTAAGGGTTTAGGGTTTGAGGGTTTTAGATTTAGGGTTTTAGGGTGTAGGGTTTAGGGAATCATACCTGCACATCGAGACCGAAGGATAGTAGTGGAGCAAGTATCCTTTAGCCGCTTTGTGGTCGTAGAATCCCTATGTAAGCCGCTGGAATATGTTTTTGTCCCCTTGACTGGCTTAAGAAGACCTTGTTTGCGAATGCTTGTTTGAGGCTTTAAAGGGCCAACCTAGATCCTGATGTAATCGAAAATCGCAAGCTTCACGCTATGATCGGTTCGGAAGACCGGTGAGCCGATAAAAGAGCTCGTAACGGGTTGAGAATATGTGTTTTTTGTTTCTTGGTTTCCGATGGTTTCGAGATTGAGGCCATTCGTCTTTGAAGGCAGTCACCCGGATTTCGAACTTGGGTATGGAAGGTTGCTGTGTTATGTACTGAGTGCGTCGGAGGACATGCTGCGAGATTCAGGGCATGAAGGTTAAGGCTTACCTCAAGGTTAGATTTCAGCCTTTGCACTTCAAGTGCCCTGCGAGAGTGCTGTCCGGTCGCAGATGTTGGTCATGGCCAACGAGGGAGCTGGTGATAGTGCCGGGCTCAAGCGGGGCTTCTCCGTTGTGGAGGGGTCCCACACTCGCTCCAGTTAATATAGAAGCCTCAAGAATTTCCTTTTTAGGGTTATAATACAGTATACCCCAAAACCCAATTCTAACATAGGCCCCTATATTGGTCGCATCATTCCTGCGCACGCCTCATCTAACGATGGTATACTGAGACCCTTGAAATGGAGCTTGCGGGCTCCTTAAAAGGTGCAGAAACCTGAGATTCGATGTCGTATTCATGGTTTGGGGGAGTAGAGGTCAAGGTTTTGAGGGGGATAGAGGGAAAGGCTGGAGATTGAAAGTTACGGCCTAGGGTTGATGATATAAATCCTGCATTACCCTTAAGGAAATATATATATATATATATGTATATATACCATAACTCCCATAGTTTAGGGTCCTTCAGGTAATGCAGGATTTATATCATCAACAGTAGGGCCTCATCCCTGATGAAGCCGTGCTTTGCTGCGCAAGGAGGTCTCTGCAAGGAACGAGCTAGGTTTGTGCAAGTCAGCGGCTTTCAAGCGATGGTGTGCCCGCAGTCAAAGACGTGTGGTGATCATGAAATGTGCTCGCATGTCGGGGGTCTTGCTCCCAAGCCGCACAACTCAAATCGCGTACCAGGCCTTCCAAAAGTGTTATAGCATTGCTCTGCTCCACCAGCTCCTAACTCCCTGGCTCAGGGTTTTGTGTCTTAAAAACACGAAGCCCTAAACCCTAAACGCTAAAACTCCTAAACCCCTAAACCCATAGACCCTAAACCCCCAGGTCCGGGGTGTTGTGTCTCAAAGCACGAAGCCCTAAACCCTAAAACCCTCACACCCATTGTCTGATCGTTGCGGTCTTCCGTCGGTGGGCGCGAGAGTCTGCAGTTGGAACAGGGTGCTCGAAAGGCACCAAAACTGGACCCTTCTTAAAACGATAAACCCCTGAACCCTAATCCCCCAAACCCCTAAACCCCTAAACCCTAAATGTGAAACCAGAGGGATTTGTGTACAAATCAAGATGTGACGTGCAAGGCATATGGTTCGAAGCTACGTAAAAAGGCCTCGCGAGCAAGGGCAAGCCCCATGCCGTCCCTCTCTGGGCCCTTCTCGTTTCACATTGGTAGCGGAGCCTGGTTGCTCCAGTAGATCCAGCAATGTCCAGCCTCCTGCTGCATGTCAACTTTTTCCTTGATGTCATCATGGTCTATGCTCCTTGTTCGTCCTCTTCGCTTCTAAGCCGTGCTATGAGGTGGAGTTCCAGTGGTGCAGCGCCGTCGTGCGCTTCATGTGGTGTTGTGCAGCAGCCCGCCACGGTGTCATCCTCGTCGTCAGATTGTGCGCTGCGACCGGGATCTTCTTGTTGTCCAGTGCCGTCGTGCATTGCTTTGCCATCTTCGTCGTCAGATTGTGCACTGCGGCGGAGATCTTCCTGTTGTTCAGTGCCGTCGCGCACTCTTTTGACATCTTCATCGTCCGACTCTACGCCACGGTGTGCATCCTCTTTTGGTTCATCGCTGTCTCTGTTCGCTTCGTCTGTCCAGTCCTGCTCCTTTGCAGGCTATTGCGACATCCAGCCCTTTGGCATCTGTATCCCATCGACAACATCTTCAATTCCTACATCAACCACAGCTCTATCGACTTCCACCTTCGGTAAGCCCGCCACCAGCATTGCATCACCCTTTACACCTGCATCGAACACGACAACGCCATCCGCAGAGGCATTCTCATTGACGTTATTTTCTACAGCGACATGCTCCATGACAATATCTATTGCAGCTGCAACTTCTACGGCGACATCTTGTGCAACCGCTGTCTGTACGACTATGTTGTGCACGCCAACCTGCGCTACATCTGCAGCAACATCTTCGGTCGCCACATCTTCTACATCAACATCATTGCGGACCATATCCTCTACACCAACATTGCTGATGCCCGCACCTTCTGCAACAACAGTATCGACTACCACGTCCTCTTCATCAAAAATGCTGACGACGACACGTGATACATCCGTATCGACTACCACGTCCTCTACATCAACGTCTTCGCCGACGGCATCTTCTGCATCAACAGCGTCGGCTACCACATCCTTCTCGATGGCCACATCTTCTACCTCAACATCATTGCGGAGCATATCCTCTACACCAACATCGCTGATGACCGCACCTTCTACAATAACATTATCGACTACCACGTCCTCTTCATCAACATGGTCATCTAACGCGTCCTTTACATCAACATCGCTGACGGCCACGCGCTCTACAACAACATTATCGACTACGACGTCCTCTACATCAACATGGCTGACGGCCACGCGCTCTACAACAACATTATCGACTACGACGTCCTCTACCTCAACGTGTTCGCCGACCACATCTTCTACATCAACAGCGTCGGCTACCACTTCCTCTACATCACTATTGTTGATAGGCACGTTCTCTACACCAACATTGCTGACGGCCACGCGATATACAGCAACATTATCGACTACGACGTCCTCTACATCAACGTGTTCGCCGACCACACCTTCTACATCAACAACGTCGGCTACCTCATCCCCTACATCACCTTTGTTGATAGCCACATCGTTTACATCCACACCATGGACTACTGCATCCTGGACATTGTCGTTTTTGCCGAGCGCATCTTCTACGCCAACATCACCGGCTACCACGACCTCGACATCATCAGGTTCGACGAACACATCTTCTACATCAACATCACCGACTACCGCAGGATCAACATCAACATCTCCACCGGCAGCAACTGATTTTGACAGCTTCCTCTACGACCACAGCCATTACAACAGCAGCCACACCCTCTATCACCGCATGCTCCACGCCCCATCAACTACGACCACACCATCTTGTCCAACATGTTCGACGGCTACATCGTGTACGGCACCATCTTGGGAGAGCACAGCTTTGACGACTACATCGTCTACCAGCGGCATCTCCTCAGCCACATCCTTCACGACGCCATCCTTATCTACTACCCCATCTTCGGCATCTTCCACGATTGCATCCTGCACTGTGCCAATGAGGGTGAGCACATGCTTTGCCGCCACAGCGTGTCCAACGATATCCGAAACAACGACATATTGCATGTTGTCCTCCTCTTCAAGCACGCTTTGTGCCCGAACATCTTCCGCAGCGAAATTCTGCACAGCACCAACTTGTGCGAGCTCAACCGGTGCGACCACACCTTTTACATCGACATCCTCCAGGACTACACCTTGCGTCGTGGCCTCCTTTACAACCGCCCCGTTGACATCACCTGCCACGACAATGTTGTCCCAGTCGCCATCCTCTACCAGCAAGTCCTCAGCAACCGCAGCAACCGCTTGTGTTTCTACGTCGCCGTTGCCAAGAAGCACATCCTCTACGACAGCAGCTCTTACAACTAGACCTTCTGCGACGACGCTGTCCACTACCACATCTCTCACGCCAACATCTCCTGCCACTATGCCCTCTGTCACCACAAGTGGTACGACGGTCCTGCCTACAAGGATTTTCTCCACAGAGATATCTTCAAAGGCAACATCATCTACCGCAGCTTCTTCAGCGACTTCATCGTCCACAGCAACGATCTGCGATGAGACGCCCTTCCTGGTGGGTGTGGTGGCCTTTGTGGGCACCAGGAGCTGCGTTGAGACTGCTTCTGCTGCCGCGACGACTACCCCATGGCAGAGACCATGATCGTCGGCGACGGGGTGTGTCGGTCTTAGTTTCCGAACAAACAAACCTGCTGGTCAATCGGCATCCAAGCCATGCAGAAACAAGGCTCGGTTCACGACTAGCCTGGCATTGAGGCTGCATTGAGGCTTCTTTACAGTCTTTGCAAAGCCGCGCTTGAACCTCCAAAAAATGGAGGATTTTTGTATAACCAGTGTGAAACCAGAGGGATTTGTGTACAAATCAAGATGTGACGTGCAAGGCATATGGTTCGAAGCTACGTAAAAAGGCCTCGCGAGCAAGGGCAAGCCCCATGCCGTCCCTCTCTGGGCCCTTCTCGTTTCACACTAAACCCCTGAAGCCCTAAGCCCAAAGCCCTAAGCTGGCCCTAAACCCTTCTTAGGGCCCAGTGGATACAGAGTCACGGGATGCATATTAGAGGTGGAGCCTGGAGCTTCAAAGCGTGTTGAAGCCCAAATCCTGGTGGTCCAATAACCAAGAGGGTCGAGGTTTTAGGGTCTTAGGGCTTTAGGGGTTTAGGGTCTGGGGTTGTAGGGCGTTAGGGTTGTAAGGTTTAGAGTCTAGGGTCTTGGGGTTTTGGGGTTTTAAGGTTTAGGGTTCAGGGTTTGGGGGTTCAGGAGTTTAGGGGTTTGGAGCCTAGGGTTTAGGGTTTAGGGTTATGGAATTCGGTCCCCAAAACCATTATGAGGACGGTCTTTTGGGGCTTGATTTCAGAATGATAGTGTATATGGACCCTCTAGGCAATATTACTACAGTTTTCCGATCATATGATTGCAAGATATTAGACAATAGTATACATATCATGTTGTTATCATACGACGATAAGAATATGGCTGAAGCTTTCGTGTTGCTATTGGGTTTGGAAGACCTAAGCCCTAACCTCTTAGCCACAAGCCAGGACCGCCCCCCCAATTCACCGTCTTCGTAACCCTAGCTACTGATCCAAAGGCCCCAAGCCACCAGTCCCCATGATCCCTTCAGCATGGAATGTGGAATCCTGAAACATTTTACGGAAGCAATATCCTAGGTAGTCTTAGGGAGACCCCTTAAAGGTGACCCTTCTGAACCCTACTTGTGGCTCTCTTACAAGGGACCTTACTGAGAGGGTCTATATCCCCAGGGGTCCCCCTAATCCTAGCTCCCACAATACTACACCTTAGGCTTCCTCTTGATTCCTAAGCCCCATAGACCCTTAAAAGGAGGTACTCCCTTAAACCCTAAACCCTCTGCAACTTTTTGAGTGGGTCTAAACTCTAAACCCTCAACCCTAAAACCCTAAACCCTAGACACTCAACTTTAAACCTAAATCCCTAAAGCCCTAAACCCTCAACCCTAAACCCTTGAAACATAAATGCTGCCACTTTTGGGGGGTGCTGAGGCGCTGGGTCCGGCGAGTCAAGTGCTGATGCCACGCAGTACACCAGAGGCAGAGGGTGCCCGTAAAGGCTCCTTTAAGAAGCCCCTAAAGGCTTAGGGTTCAGGAAGAGGGGTGGAGGGATAGTTTTTTTTTTTTGTGGAGTTCGGGTTGAGGAGTGTAGCTTCGAAGGGGTTAGGCTTCAGGGGTTACTGGAGGCTACCAAGGTTTGGGCTTGACAGAGGTTGAGGTGAGGTTAGGGTGTCGGGCTTTTAGGGGTGTAGGGACCCCCAAACCACGGGCTTGTGCTGTTTCCGACGTGCGCTACTGCTTGTTTTTTTTGCTGGGGGGTGTAGGGTTTAAGGTCTTGGGGGTAGGGGAGGAGTAATGCGGGTGGTTAGATGTTTTTGAGGTTCGAAATACTGAGCTTGGGCGTATGTGTCCTGCATATACGATCCACCGACTGCACCAAGTTGGCCAGTGAAGCAAAGACAAACTCCTGGTCAGAGTATGTTTGGCAGACTTCTGAACCTCAGCCCTAAATTCTTGCAGGTGGAGCTGTTTTCCATTCATTTGGGAAGATTCGGTAACGATCAGCGCTGAAAGCATGAATTCGGGTTTGATTCTGGGGCAATAGGCTGGTGCTATGAGGGAAGTGTGGACAGAGCCGAGAGTTCAGCACAGGTTTCCTGACTCCTGACTATCTGGAATAACAGGAAGCCGCAAACTCAAAACTGCTGTCGATCTTCTGGATTGACTAGACCCTAAGCTAAACCCCAGACCCTAAACCCCAGACCCTAAACCCTAGACCTTAAACCCTAAACCCTAAGCCCAAGACCCTGCACCCAAGAACAAGCCCCTTTATCTCTTCCAAGTCCAAGCACTACAGAAGTGAAGCGCGGCGTCGTCTCAAATGATCTTCGGACTTCGTAACTGCGGTTATGACTAAAGAACTGTACATGGGTAGTTATCTAAATAGGGGTCCATTTTAGGGTCCTTTTCATAAGGGTGCCGTGCTATATTGGAGACCTAAGAAGGGACCCTAATTTAGAGAGCTACCCACATGCAGCTACAATGACTTCTCATCCCAATTTTGGTGCTTCTACTACGTCCCATGATCCTTCGGATGGAGTGATGGGTTGCACTCCGCGGCAAAATGGCTAGGCTAGAAAGATCGTTTACAAACTATTCTGACTTACGTCTGCAGGTTGCACAGCTTTAGACCATCGGGTCGAGCAGTCAAGCTTTGGATAAGAGGCTTAGCAGTGAACTCTACTGTTTGCAAGAGCAGAGGTGATATCACTGGCAGACTAACAGGTATTGTTATCGACAATGGGGGTAACAAGCAATGTCCAATGACCGTGGTGGCATGAATAAGATCAAGCCCTAAACCCAACTAGCAATAAGGGGCTTGGGCATTTTTCACCACGCATGCCAACTCGAACCGCATGATGAGAAATCGAACTCTCGGGTCTAGGGCGCGCTGTAGGAGTTTAGCTTTTAGCTTGGGTTAGAGCTTCAAAGTTTCGATAAGAGTTTCGGTTTCTTGCTGGTTGGGCATTCCTTGAACTTTCGCCTGTCCTTGGCGTTGTTGCTGTGCCCGTGCCGGCCAGGTGACATCAAGCTCATCGACGACACAAACAGGCGGTGAGCTGCAACCCCCGTAGACCCAAACCTCAACCCCCCTAACTAAGCCCTAAACCTTAGGCTAAACCCTAAACCCTAAACCCCTAAACCCCTAAACCCTAAACCCTAAACCCCTAAACCCCTAAGCCCTAAACCCTAAACCCCTAAACCATAAACCACATGAAACCTCAACCTCAAGCCTCTGAACACCCATGGTATTCAAGCTCAGTTTCTTGGTTCATACTACGTCCCTGAAATCCAGTAGCGCAGCTCCACTGTTTTTGGGGGTTCGGGTTTAGTTACGAACGCTGTAGACATTATGAAGTCTTAGAGTAGGAGACCGTCCGATTGGGTGCAGCGGTGTTTCGCCGTGCGCGGTGAGTGAAGGTCAAATCGGGGCCTTACTGCTAAGACTAGGGTTTGAGTGTAGATTTGTAGTATGGTTTTAGGGGGGCCATGCGTGGATATGATTACTTATCATTCATCTCTTCATGTGTCGCCTGGTATCCGGCCTGCAAACTTAGTGCAAGACCAGGGATTGATGATATGCCCTAAACCCTAAACCCTGAACCCTAAACCCTAAACCCTGATATGTGTGGACAGGCTGTGTCCCACATTTGGGCCCGGGCTGCAGCCCCCACCCGATGGGAGCGCCTTAGGGTTTCGTTTAGAGGTTGAGGTATCAGCTCGTGTGACTTGCGTCGAGTTTTAGGATACAGTTTAAGGTCTAGGGTTTAGGGTTTAGCGCCTAGACTCTAAACCCTACACCCTAAACCCCTAAACCCTAAAGTTTAGGATTTAGGCATAGATTTGAGAAATCCTAGAAAATGCCGGGACTTCAGGCCTTCAGGGTTGAAGGTTTAGGGGTTTAGGGGTTCAGGCGTTGAGGATTTAAGGTTGAGGGTTTAGGG